CCCCAAAACCCCAAAACCCCAAAACCCCAAAACCCCAAATTCAGAAATTTTAACTGAAAATATAAAAATTTCTAAAAATGGATCGTTATTTTGAAGATGAAATGTACGAATTTACCCCAATAATCAACACATAACACATCTAAAACCTCTTCTTAATCCGCCAAACCCCTCTTTCTTCCCTCTATCACCCATCTGCCCACCCCCTTGACACTCTCTCATAGAATAATCGAGGAGAGAAGTAGTGAGACAATGTTCGGGGATGACCCCATAAGGATGAGCAAGAAGGCTAAGTCAAAGCCGACCACGAACAAGTCCAAAAGGAGTTATAAATAAGGATCTGTATAAGACTATTACTACTATTGGGAATAATAGAAGGCTTATGCAAGTGCGAAAAAGAAAAAGAAGTCCAGAAATCATGGGTACGTTTCATACAAAAACTGTGTCTTCTTCAAGATACAATATGAATATTTGATTGGAATTTACAAATCTCACTCCTCTCTAGGAACGAAATAAAGTCCCAGATTTCTAACTACAACAGCACAATATCCAGTAAGATTAGTGAGACTAGTGGGTCTCCCACTTCTTCAAGGATGAAGGCATCTTCAAAGCATAAGAGATCTTCAGTGTCTAAAAATGTAACTTTGGAATATAATTCTAGACCCTTAAAAGCTCGTACCGCTCCAGAAACTCTGTCCAACTTGTCTCAACCAGTAAAGAAGTTGACAGAGCTCGCAAGAAGTACGGTAAGGAGCAGAGCTCCTTTAAGGAAATCTCTTCTGAGTTAGTCAACTTCAGAGAAGTTAGCAAGAGAAGGAGCTCTTTTAACCATAAAAACTCTGTCGGACTCTTTTCAGCCCTGACTGGACTAGGCTCAAGTCATGGGAAGATACCTACTAATAGCTCACAACGGGTTTCGAGTGTAATGGATGGAATTATCGCTCCATTCTTCACTAATTTGAAAGGTAAAAAGATTACCCAGAAGAGGATAGAGAGTGGGATGAAGAAGGCACTCGGAGCTAGTGAGATCTGTAACTTCTTACTAACCCTCTACACTAACCGTCTTAGCACAACATTTTACCACTGGAAGTCAATCATATATCAAGAAAAGATAGTCGAAGAGATAGAGCACGAGTCAATGAGACCAACAAGTCATAAGAAGTTTTATGCAGATAGCACCTTGATCAAGGCCACTAGGAATATTTTTAAAGTTTATTCAAAGAAAGTGGCTGATTCTTATTATGACAGACCTACAGGTAGGTTTTAGACTCGTGAAATTTCTTAACAGAATAACAATAAATAACTCTAAAAGAAATAATAGCTTAGATTAACTATTCCTATAGTGCTAGTAGAGATCACAGGTCATCGGTCAAAAGAAGCTGCCTTTGAAAGAGTCATTGAGAAGAGATGAGCTTGGCTCAGAAGACGAGCTGATGAGGAAGATGAGAAATTGGCTATACTTAGAGAAGAAGTTAAGGAAGTCCAACAACAAAGTGGTAAGTAGCATGGGAAGAATGATCTTTGTAATAAGGGATCTTAAAGCATTATTGTATATTTAATTTGGCTTATATCTTACTTCTGATGCTAGTTAGTGATTTTATTTTTAAAACAGAGATATAAAAGAAAGAACAAGAGTATTATATTCCCATATAGCAATCTCTTCAACTTCATTACAAACCCAGAATACTAATCTAGCAGCCATGATGCTGTGAAAAAGCATCAACAGTGTTGTATTAAGATCCAAGAAGGAAAATTTTAGCACTCTCCACAATTTTTCCGAACAAAGAAAATTCTACATCACCTTCAAGCTATCTACCATCATACACAACGTACGTCCCCTCTCTCCACCCTCTAGTGCATTCTCAAGGCCGAAAAATACCAAAAATTCACTCACTTCAACCACTGGAAGAGCTCCTCCCTCAAAAACTACACCTACACCACCCCTGCGCTCACTTCCCTCCCAAACCCCCCACCTCAACCACCCCAGGCCAAAATCCCCACTACAGCCCCCCTAGAGCCCCACCCGCTCCTCTCCCAGAGACTCCAGGAAGAAAAATCCCGAATCGAACGCGAACAAATTGACCATAAAATATCCCAATTACGGAAGAAACTTAAAAATCAGAAGAAAGGTAAGCACAGATTATAAAATTTGAACTGGTTTATGTATAGGGAATTGGCATGATGTTAATACGGAAGTTACAGATCCGAGGAATTTTAGGTAGATAGGTTCAATTTTGGAGAGGGAGAGGGGTTTTGGGGTTTTGGGGTTTTGGGGTTTTGGGG